AGACGGGGTTTCACCATGTTGACCAGGATGGTCTCGATCTCTTGACCTCGTGATCCACCCGCCTCGGCCTCCCAAAGTGCTGGGATTACAGGCTTGAGCCACCGCGCCCGGCCTCACCCTGTCTTTATAATAATGAATACCACCACTCTAGTCAACTCAGGTCTACATTTTCTGGCAGCAGATGACCTTGTCCTCAGGTTGCAAGAAGCACACCTCTTCCAAATGGGGGCCATTTCCAAAAGTAGACATCAACAGACTCTAAGTTCATTCTCCAGACCAAACACTTTGGACTTAAGATTCTTCAATTCTCCTTGTATCTTATGTGCCCGTCTATTGCTGTCACGGACTTCACACAGAATGGCGAGATCCTGATTTGCCAGGGCATTAACTGTTACCTAGGGATTTGACAAAAAAAAAAAAAAAAAAAGAAATGGGCAGAGATATCAGTCAAAAAGACAGCTATGCTGGCTCCTTTTTTATGAGATCTTGAGTACATAAGATGAATTCCATCCTTAGTTTGTTCAGTGGCTAACTAAAGAGAGAAAATGTAGAATTAAGGCAGAATTCTAGTGAAACTCCTTCCCATACAATAAAGGAGCCTTGAAATAGAGATCAATGAATAATGGAGGAGGAGTAAGAGACCAGAATAAGCAACACTACTGGTAAATTTGTCAAAGAATCAAAGCAGGCATCTCCTCTTTTTGTAACTAACCTTGCCTGGAACACAGGCTAACTGGCTAAATCTCATTAAGAAGGCTCTTGAGGCAACTTGTATTCTAAAACGTTGTGTCTGCTGGAAAAAATTACTCTATGACTCAATTAGTCACTTTCCCCAACTGTAAAACAGACATGATTCTTTAATCTACTTCTTGAATTAGGAGGGATGACAATTTCTGTTAAGTTTAGCTTACATGGAAGTATTCATGATGCAGTCATTTAATGATTTCAGGGTATTTTTTATTTTCTCTCTAGCATGTACTTGTTGAACTAATTTTCAGCGAGGCTTAAAGATGGTGATCTGTTAGTGTCTACCAGCAGGGAAACAGCACATCCTTCTTTTAAGGAACCCTCGTGACCCAATGTTCCCTCACTTCCACCTCTTTTCTCCCTTGTGGCAATTCAGGATAAACAGTTACCTTATACAACATTTGCTCCAAGTCTTTCAGTTTCTGTCGGAGAACCTTAATATCTGTCTTAAAGCCTTCTACTTCCAAGATACGTCGCTGCTCCAATGCTTCATAGCGTTTTGTCATTATCTGCAAACGCTTCCCCAATTTGTTAGTGCGATCCTAAATACGAGGAATGGGAAGGCACTTATGAAGGTGACAGAAGCGTTTTCCCAAGCCATCTGCACTTCCTACTCCATTATAAGTGGCAGACAATTTTGTACCTTGAAGATCTCTCTCCTCATTCCCTCTTCCTCACGAATTCGGGCAAGTTCTTCTTCTAAGGAAATGCACTGCTCTTGATACATATTGGAGAGCTTTTTCTCTTGTACTAACTTGTCTTTTAGGGACTGCAAGTCAAAGCAACAAAAACCATTAATAATCAGTTCTACAATTTAGGTAATTCAAATAGCACTTAGATAAAGAAAGAAAGAAAACAAGAGATTTCCAAAGGTACAAAATGAGTTAAGGAACCAGATGACAAGAGCTTTGAGGAACATCTGAAAATCTCCTACTTCTAGACTAGTCTCTTAAGCCCTTATTCTAAAATGTACACAGTAGAAATTCAAACAAATATTTTTGGCTCTGAAAAGAGTCAGACAATGGAGCTCAGAAGCTGTCCCAAGACAGACATTACAATATATGTTTTGGGCTACATTTCTAAAGTTCTTCTTTTAAAAAGGAAGAAATATGAACAGCAACAACACTTATTATACATGCTCTATTGAGCAGTTAAAATGATCTTTTAAAAACCCAAATCAGATCATGTTACGTTTTTTTTTTTTTTTTT